AGGGCATTGATAATCTATTCCATGAAATTCTGGAAGAAAACTTTCCAAATCTAGAGAGTCACTCAAATATCTAGACTCAAAGAATACAAAGGACTCCACATAGAATCAACCCAAGAAGATCCTTCTCAAGGAACATCATAGCCAGATTGACCAAAACCACAGAGACAAGAAACTAAGTTCGGCAAAGAGAGAAACATCAAGTTACTTTCAAAGGATATCCCATAAGACTAACCTCTCATTGAAAACAATGCCAGCAAGGAAAAAAATGGGAAAATATATTCAAAGTGTTAAGTGAAAAACAATTTCAGCCGAGAATACTATACCCAGCAATATTATCCTTCAATGGGAAAAAAGAAAAAAAATTCTCAGATAAATAAAACCTGAAAGAATTTACCAACACCATACCAACTCTTGAAGAAGTGCTGAAGGGAGCGCTAAACCAGGAAAATTAAAGTTGGACACAGAAATGAGAGTATAAGAAACAACCAAGACAATGGCCAGCCTAATGCTAAGAACAAGCCCAGATTGAATGTGAACTTCCAGAGTTTAAATGGAAAGATCAGACCACAGTAACACCGCAAATTCAATAGAAGAGAGAGTAATTATGTGAGTTTGAACTTGTGAAATAGAATTTTCTTACTTTAGACTAAAACATTACTGATTTTCTTTGATACTTTGATTTCTGTATTTAAAGATTTTTGTCTTCTCTTAAACTGTTGATAGGTTCATCTACCTACTATTTGAAGTAAATCCTAACCTTTATCCTGACTGTAAGTTTTAAGCAAATTTCTCTTAATATTTTTTCATTTTGATCTATTAAAACAAAAACTTTTTTGAAACTGAAAAATACACTAAAAAATACCTATTAATCCCTATTTAATGACTGTAGTAAGCTATATAGCCCCTGTGAGGTGCTACTTTATAGGATGTTCACTTTTCTCACTGAGGTTTACGCCTAAAGTCAGACATGCCCTCGTAAATATGTATGTATCAGCTCTGCTTGCTATTGCAGGTCTTTAATTAAGATCTTTAGTTAATCAGTCAAATGTGAAAAAAAAAAAAAGGTATGAAAAAACAACTGTATATACCAGAGACAGTATGGGAGAAGGGAGGAACTGACAGATGGTGAGAGGTAGGGAATCAAGGGGAAAAAAAAAGCAAAATATATAGGAAACAAGAAATAGGAAATAATTTGTTGATGATAACATGTATGGTAATATCCTTGCTTGAGCCAATAAACAATGTATACTGAATGGAAAATTTCATTTTGTATACTGTATTGATGTACATGAATGAATGACTGTAAATAACTAAAAAAACCCAAAAAACAAAAAACAACAACAACAAAACAAAGAATACAGTGTCATGGGCCAACAGGTGGAGTGGAGGTTAAGGCACTGATTCCCACTTGGCTGACTCCATGGTTTGGGTCCTGGTCCCAGAACCAGTGACTTGAAAAATCACACTGGTGTGTGTGTGTGTGTGCGCGCATGCCCCAAATCTTGAGAAGAATGGAGGAGAAGGAATTGTGACCTGGCCACTCCCCCACAGTGGGGGGTGAGTTCTCACTTTCTCTTCCTCTCTTTCTCTGTGTCTTTCTGGCAAACACATGCCCCCTATGGGGGAAAAAAAAGAAAGAAAGAAAAAGAAAGAAAGAAAGAAAAAAGAAAGAAAGAAAGGAAGAAGGAAGAAAGAAAGAAAGAAAAAGAAAGAAAGAAAGGAAGAAAGGAAGAAAGAAAAGGATACAGTAGCACAATCCATTCTTTCCCACATTTACACTGACATTTTCCTGGAACAAACTACCCAACAGGTAATGGATCTAAAAATTTAGGCCACAGAGCTACTTGAAAGGACTTCGTTGTTCACATTTCCTTAGTGAGTCTTTTTGGATTAGAAACCATGAATGTGTGAAAATAAAAGAATTAGGTCGCATCAGCCCTAGGTAAACAGGTTCAAAATTATTTTTTTAGATGTAAGATTAAGACAATCTTTTAACTGTGACCTCTATATGACCTACAGAATCCAACAACCTTTAAAGAGAAACGAATAACAGAATAAAAGAATAATAGCGGTACATACCAGAGACAGTGTGGGAGAAGGGAGGGGGAGTGGTGCTTTACAAACTTGAAGGCATTTTAGGAAAAAAAAAAAAAAAACGCAAAATAATTCATCGAAAGCATCTTTGTGTTTTTAAAACCAGATAAAGCTTGTTCAAACTTCCGAAATATCTTTTTGAACACTACACCAACTGTTTTAGAAAAAGCATGATGATGGTTTTAAAAAGGGACACCTGGCCTGTTTCTCTGGTGAGTGATCAGGAGAGCAGAGCTGAGAGGTGGTCCCAGTTTCACAAGCGCTTACACACGGGGAGAGGCACGCTGACATTTCGGCGTGTTTCCCGGTCACCTCCCCACCCAGGCAGAGGGGCTCTGGTCAGAATGGGGCTGTCCCAGGCAGAGCTGCCAGGCAGTCTGAGAGTGGAGCTGGGATGCTGGGGTTCACAGTTTACTGGGAGGGAATGAGTCAGGTGCAACCAAGGGACAGTATTAAACCAGTTGTGTGTTTTTGTTTTTTTGCAAGGACAGAGGAGAACGGGTTCTTCCTGAGAGTTACTTTGGGGAACTCAGCTGTGGAGGGCCCCTTCAGGACCTGGGTGCAGCTTTCTCTTCCCCAAGGGTGCTGTGGGCACAGAATTGAGCCTCGTGAATCAGAGGGTCCACTGGCCAGGTTCCTTTGGCCGAATCTGCTCCTGGAGGCCCGGGCCTCGAGGCCAGGCCTGCTTGTCCGCAGCTGGTGTCACTAATCCTGGCAGCCATGTCCATGTCCCGTGCTCCTTGGGTCCTAAAGGAGTTTTTCTCTGGCTGCCGGAAGTCTGTGAGTAAGGGGCTTCCCAGGAAGGTGGAGCCGGGTGAGACGAAGTCACAGAGGGACAAGCCCACAGCCAGGCTGCGGTGGCAGGTGGCAGTGACGGCTAGCTGTAGGGAGGTTGGGAGGTCGTTGGGACAGGGCCCAGCCCCGAGTCTCTCCCAGGGTGCTAGAACCTGGACACGCCAGGCGTTCTTCCCGAGGAGGCCTCTGTCCCAGCTGGCCCTGGCCCGATCCCCTCTGCTGTGCTTGGTGGGCATGTCCTCCTGGCCTTTGCGAAAGCCAGCTGGTCCTCTGTGACATCTGGCGTAGCCGGGGTCACGGAGGTGAGACCTGGCAGTTTTGAGGCTGGAGATCCACGCTGGGGCCTTTGGGAGAAATGGTGCTGGAGGGAACAGCGCAACCCCGGGGTAGGGTGTGTGTGTGAGGGGCGAGGTGGGGTGTGGGGGTCAGGGGTGGTTAGGTAGTGAGGGGACTGGGTTGCAGCGTTGTCAGCGTCTTAAAGTTGCAAACGAGGGGGCGGGATTGTCCCGGCCTGTCATGGTTTGGTTTGCCTCGTCCTGACAGCCATGGCTTCCCTCTGCCCCTCCTTTCCTTCCTGCATGGACAGAGGTGACTCTGGCGAGGGAGCAGGAGCATTTGGCAGTGGTCCACTGCAGTCACCGTGTCTTCAGGACAGCACCAAGACTGATTGCTGCCTCTCTGCCTCTCAGTGCGGGAGGCTCAGAAGACAGGGATCTGGTCTCTCCGAACCACGTCCAGGTCGTCATCCAGAGTTAAGAGAACCTGCAGTGAAAGGGACGGAGAAATGAAAGGAGCATGCGCTCACAGTCGCACAGTCCCTGCTTGCGTTCTTTTTTCTTCGCTTTGAGATATTTTTGCTATAGGGTGTGCGAGCTTGCCAGAGAGACAGAGACAGTGAGAAATCACCTCCCCCACCCTTAGGGAGTATGGTCATGCCACCATCCCTTCTCCTCTCAGGATTTTGGGCACACACGCACACACGCTCAATGTATTTCAAGCATCCAAGTCTGGGACTTGAACCACCCATGTGGTTGCCCATGTGGGAGACAAGGGCCTCAACCACTACGCCACCTGCTGGCACCTATTTTCTTAGACTCCACAGCCGGACAATTCTGAGTTTCTTTACTCATTTTCATGTCTTCTGCAGCTCTCTGCAACGCCTTGCCTTTAACAGCACTCATTGTCATTAGATAGTTCATTGATCGATTCATTCAAACATGTACAAGAGTTTATTGTGTGGTATTGTAGATGCCGAAGGTACAGTTGGAAGGAAGAGGTGAAAGTTCCTACCGTCTTTGCAGGTTACATTCAAGAGAGGGCTTCAGACAGGAAAGAAATACGTGACTAAATACAGCACATTAGATAGCAGTATGCGTTAGGGGTAAAAATTAAACTGTAGAGGGAATATAAGAAGTATGCGGTTGGGAGAGGTAATAAGTTTTGCCATAGTGGCCCGGGAGTCACCTAAAATGTTACATTGAGGACAACATCTAAAGGATATGGAATCTTCTTGCATGGAGTATTGCCATACACAGAACGTACACTCCTCCTCCATTCTAGTTCTGCCGACGGCCACTCTCCTCCATGGAACCCTTAGCTTCACTTTGTCCTTTAATGAATGTGACCATCAAAACATAAAAGCCAGAGGAATGCTTATGTGGATTGGTTAAACTTCCCAAACTGGCCACTAGGGGGCAATCCTGCTCTACTCGTCAGGGTAGATGGCCAGCCTGCATTTTCTTAAAGTGGAGGGAAAACGTTGGGGCCCAGATGTCCCTAGTAGTGCTGTCCATTGTCATTTGAACCGGTGTACAACACAGGGACTCTTCATTCGGACACATCTAAACGATGCTGGGAGCTGCCATCTAAGCTTGATATAAACACACATGGCTTTTGGGGATGAGTTTGGTCAAAAAGTAGAGGGATTACAGGAGAGATTTGAAACAGAGGCCTGGCTGCTATCCTGAACAACCCCAGGAATCTGTAAAATATTTGTAAAATACTCAGTGAGGCTGAAGGTGGGGAGGAATGGAAGAAGAGCACAAGAAGGAATAACCCAGTTCGATCAGAGTGATAGTGAATGCCAAAAGTGGACAGCCAGGTCTTCCCTCTGCCCCTCCTTTCCTTCCTGCATGGACAGAGGTGACTCTGGCGAGGGAGCAGGAGCATTTGGCAGTGGTCCACTGCAGTCACCGTGTCTTCAGGACAGCACCAAGACTGATTGCTGCCTCTCTGCCTCTCAGTGCGGGAGGCTCAGAAGACAGGGATCTGGTCTCTCCGAACCACGTCCAGGTCGTCATCCAGAGTTAAGAGAACCTGCAGTGAAAGGGACGGAGAAATGAAAGGAGCATGCGCTCACAGTCGCACAGTCCCTGCTTGCGTTCTTTTTTCTTCGCTTTGAGATATTTTTGCTATAGGGTGTGCGAGCTTGCCAGAGAGACAGAGACAGTGAGAAATCACCTCCCCCACCCTTAGGGAGTATGGTCATGCCACCATCCCTTCTCCTCTCAGGATTTTGGGCACACACGCACACACGCTCAATGTATTTCAAGCATCCAAGTCTGGGACTTGAACCACCCATGTGGTTGCCCATGTGGGAGACAAGGGCCTCAACCACTACGCCACCTGCTGGCACCTATTTTCTTAGACTCCACAGCCGGACAATTCTGAGTTTCTTTACTCATTTTCATGTCTTCTGCAGCTCTCTGCAACGCCTTGCCTTTAACAGCACTCATTGTCATTAGATAGTTCATTGATCGATTCATTCAAACATGTACAAGAGTTTATTGTGTGGTATTGTAGATGCCGAAGGTACAGTTGGAAGGAAGAGGTGAAAGTTCCTACCGTCTTTGCAGGTTACATTCAAGAGAGGGCTTCAGACAGGAAAGAAATACGTGACTAAATACAGCACATTAGATAGCAGTATGCGTTAGGGGTAAAAATTAAACTGTAGAGGGAATATAAGAAGTATGCGGTTGGGAGAGGTAATAAGTTTTGCCATAGTGGCCCGGGAGTCACCTAAAATGTTACATTGAGGACAACATCTAAAGGATATGGAATCTTCTTGCATGGAGTATTGCCATACACAGAACGTACACTCCTCCTCCATTCTAGTTCTGCCGACGGCCACTCTCCTCCATGGAACCCTTAGCTTCACTTTGTCCTTTAATGAATGTGACCATCAAAACATAAAAGCCAGAGGAATGCTTATGTGGATTGGTTAAACTTCCCAAACTGGCCACTAGGGGGCAATCCTGCTCTACTCGTCAGGGTAGATGGCCAGCCTGCATTTTCTTAAAGTGGAGGGAAAACGTTGGGGCCCAGATGTCCCTAGTAGTGCTGTCCATTGTCATTTGAACCGGTGTACAACACAGGGACTCTTCATTCGGACACATCTAAACGATGCTGGGAGCTGCCATCTAAGCTTGATATAAACACACATGGCTTTTGGGGATGAGTTTGGTCAAAAAGTAGAGGGATTACAGGAGAGATTTGAAACAGAGGCCTGGCTGCTATCCTGAACAACCCCAGGAATCTGTAAAATATTTGTAAAATACTCAGTGAGGCTGAAGGTGGGGAGGAATGGAAGAAGAGCACAAGAAGGAATAACCCAGTTCGATCAGAGTGATAGTGAATGCCAAAAGTGGTTCCTAGGGGAGTTCTCGACATAGGGGTTATAAAGACCAATTCGGTTCAAATATCCTATGCAATTTAGAAAACAGGATTTGTCACTTCATGTTTAAAAATATTGAGGAGGAGGGCCAGTCCATGGTCTAGTGGTTAAGGCATCTGTCGAGTCCTGGACTCGGCAGCTTGAGTGCCCGTGTGTACCTGTCCCAAATCCTAAGAGAGGGAAAAAGGGAGGAGAAGGGATTGCAGCATGACCAAGCCCCAATGGGCGGGTGCTTTCTTACGTTCTCTGTCTCTCTCTCTCCCTCCCTCTCTGTGAGTACACATGCCCTCTGTCAGAGTAAAACAAAACAAAACGAAAAAACACCTTGAAGAGTAGAAGGAAAATAGAAATAAAGAAAATAGAAGAATTACAAACATGAACACGTATATATGAAATGTTGATCCGTACGCTGGATTACGATGAGGAATTAGAAAGGGAAATGAGAATGGAATATGTAAGAGAATGTCAAGGAAGCGCAGAAGGGAAATAAAATGAGAGTATAGGACATAAAGAGAGAAGAAAAAAGAAACAAATACCATAAACTCACCAAGAATGAGAAAAACAAGGCAGTAGCAGACAGGAAGTGCCAGACATCATGGTCATCAAAGAAATTTTCAGCAGGACACACTCGCGGTTCTTCTCCCGGGATTCAGCTGGAGTTCCCTGGAGGAAGGTGAGGCAGCTTGTGGGCAAGAGTCCTACTGACCCACCGTTCAGAAGGTTGAACATTCAGAAAGCTACAAAAACCCTGCTAGTTGGCTCCAAAAGTTAGCTTCCCAGCAGACATTAGTTCACACAAAACTTAGGTTCAGATACTCGCAACACCCATAATGGCCAAGAAGTGGAAACAACTCAAATGTCCATCCACTGGTAAGGGGACAGACAGAATGTGGTATATGCATATAATGGAATATTATTCAGCAATAGAAAAGATGAAATACCGATACGTGCTACAGCATAGATGAGCCTAGGAAACGTGCTGAGTGAAAGAAGCCAGTTTCAAAGGTTATCTAGTGTGTGATTCCACTGATATGGTTTGTCCAGAACAAGTTCATCTATAGAGACGAAAAGTAGAATAGTGGTGGCCGTCGGCAAAGGGGTCAGGGGGAAATAAAAAGTCACTGATTCTGTGTTCAAGGTTTCTTTCTAGAGTGATAACACTATTTTAAAATCGAATGTGATGATCGTTGTGTTGGAGAGCTAAGACTTCTCTTTGCTCTGTGATTCAAATATATCATTACTTTCTCAGGCTTCAGCTTTCCTGTCTATAAAATGGATTTAATAACACCTGGATTTGGGTATTTGTAAATGGATGACCCAGAGAAGATACATTAATCAAGGTGTTCTTTTAAAATTATTTATTACATTTTATTTATTCATTCATTTATTTTTTAATTTGACCAGAGAACGACAGAGGGTGAGAATGAAAGAGAGAGGGAGTGAGAAAGCAAGCCACCAGATTCAGGATTCGAACCCTGGTCGGCCATGTGGGAATGTCCAGCGCCTTAACCACCACGCCACTTGCTGGTCCCCAATCAAGATTTTTATACATGATAAACAGCCATCAGGAATAGGATGAGAATATGGGGAGAAATGTGGAATTAAAGCATGAGTTCATTTTAGTACAAAATAAATTTTATTCCATGATTTTTTCAATAATATGCATTTCGATGAATTTTTTTGAAGACCCCTTATTCAACACATCATGAAGATCACATTTGCAGTATCTGTAGGACTTACCATTTGTTAAGTGTTACCCTGAAAACAATGGCTACAGATCAGTTATTACGCATTGAGATTTTGATGTGAATATTAAAAATCATTCCCTTTATAAATGCTGAAAAAAATGAATATTATATATATCATTTATTTTATTATCATATACTGTGTGCAGGGACCAGCAGTTAGCGTAATGGCTATGTCGCTGGACTCCCATGTAGTCGACCGCGGTTGGAGTCCTGGACCTGGTGGCTCGGACTCACACTGGGTGCATGTGCGCGCGTGCCCAAGATCCCGAGAGGAGAATGGAAGAGAAGGGATTGCGGCATGGCCATCCCCCCTGGGAGGTAATTTCTCGCTTTCTGTCTCTCTGTCTCTCTCTCTTCCTGGTGAGTGCATGTGCCCTATAGCAAAAACCTCTCCAAAAAAAGAGAAAAAAAAAAAAAGCGCCACACACACAAAGGTATACATTGATTGTATATAAACCAGAAACCATAATTTAAAAAATAAATGGAAACTTTTGTTTCAGAGACTGTGAATAAGATTAAAAGCAATACATACACAGATAGGAAGAGGTAGAAAGATCAAAAAAGCATGAAGAATTGAGAACTATGTCTTGCAAAAGAAAACTGTTCTCTTACCTCCCAACTGCTGAGATTCTGGAAGAAAAAATACAGGGCAGCAGCCCACACCACCGCGGTGGCCACAATGCAGAAGAGTGGGGCCGGGAGGACCTTCTCGGAGCTGCGAAGCTGTGGGCGAGAGGCTAAAGTGGTGAAGCCAGACCTGCCACCTGCAGGAGGGCCTGGAGACTGAGGCTCTTGGTGCCGCTCTTACCTTCATGATGATGTAAAAGGCCAGGTAGAGCAGCAGGTTACAGATGAAGATGCCCAGCATGTAGGACGCAAAGTCCCTGGGTCGGTACAGCAATCCAAACAGGGCGCTGAGGACACGGGAGGACGTGTTTGCAGCCATGAGGTGGGTTTGTAACATTAGGTGGGTTTGTAACATTTTTCACTCCCCCATCCCCATTTTTTTCTTGGGGGGAAGGGGAGTCATTAAACAAAAATAGACTTTGGGGCCAGCAGGTGGTGGAGTGGTTAAGGCACTAGACTCCCACGTGGCCAACTGCAGTTTAAGTCCCAGACCCCTCACCTTGAAACTCACGTTGGGCACGTATGCATGGGTGCCCAAAATCCTGAGAGAGGAATGAAGGATAGGGGATTGTGGTGTGGCCATTGCCCTTCAGGGGTGAATTCTTGCTTTCTGTCTCTGTCTCTCTGGTAAGTGCATGTTCCCTAGGGCAAAAATCGCTTGCTCAAAACAAAAACAAAAACAAAACAGAAAAAACCCCACAAAAACCAAAACCAAACTTTTTTTTTTTTTTTTTTTTTTAATTTTTGCTATAGGACACGTGCACTCCCTGAAGAGAGAAAGAAAGAGAGAAGGAAAGTGAGAAATCACCCCCTGGGAGGTGGCCATGCCTCAGTCTCTTGTCCTTTGTTTTCCTCTCTGGATTTTTGGGCATGCGTGCACGTGCACCTGTTGTGATTTTCAAGTGGTCAGGTCCAGGACTCCGATCACATAGTTGGCCTTGTGAATGTCCAGCACCTTAACCTCCATGCCACCTGCTGGCCCCTGTCCATGGTTTTACAATTCATATTGATGTTTATTCTGGTTAGGCTTTAGCTTGAATTTTGATCCAATTTTCAATCAGTTATAACAAAGCTTTTGCTACATAACTCTTTTTTATCTTGTTTTGAAATTGTCTATTTAATAAGTTTACAGCCAGGCTGGCTCCATGGCCTGGTGGTTCAGGCAGCCAGATTCCACATGGCTGACTTCAGTTTGAGTCCTAGTCCTGGTGGCTTGAGAAACATGCCACACCGGTGTACATGTGCACCCAAAATCTTGCCAGGATGGAGAAGTGGAGGAGAAGGGATTTTATAATATGTTAGATGATGGGAACCAGCAGTTAGCATAATGGCTATGTCGCTGGACTCCCACGTAGTCAACCGCGGTTCGTGTCCCAAACCCGGTGGCTTAAAAACTCACGCCGGGCGCGTGTGCGTGCGTGCCCAAGATCCCGAGAGGAGAATGGAAGAGAAGGGATTGCGGCATGACCATCCCCCCTGGGGGGTGATTTCTCGCTTTCTGTCTCTCTGTCTCTCTCTGTCTGTCTGGCGAGCGCACGCGCCCTATAGCGAAAACCTCTCAAAAAAAAAAAATGTTAGATGATCACTATCCCATTTGGTAGCCACATACGGGTATTTAAATGAATTACAATGAAAAAGAATAGAAAAGCCAGTTCCTCAGTCGTACTAGTCGCATTTCAAGTTCTCGGTACCCGTGTGCTAACAGTTCCTGTCTGAACAGCGCCATGTAGAGCACTGGCCGTACTACAGAAAGGTCTACTGGGCGATGCTGGGCTAGTCACTGCACCCTTTCCTCCTCCTTCCTTCTGTTAACCTTTTCAGAGATCTTTAAAAATTTTGCTTTAATAGACAAATGAATTTTATGATAAAATTCTGTTAATTTAATTCTAATTTTAAATGTGGAATTCTGAGAACAGATACCCTTGGAATAATTCATCTTTCACTCAAGGTATGCTATCTCTTTCTTTAGTAAAGTTTTCCCTTATGTCTCTCCTAGTAAGGTGATAATATTTTCTGCAGAAAGATTCTATACCGCTTTCAAAATGTATTCATAAATATTTCAAGGGAAAAGCTATTATTCATGGACTTCGTTCACTTCGAATTCCAACTGACTTTGTTCTCTATAATATAGGACGTTTCCTCCTCCCAGATTTGGAAATTTTCGGTATACAAAAATATTCTTGTATATCTTTCACTCAGATTCACCAATTTAGTACCATTTTGCTACATTTGCTTATGGGTTTCTTCTTCCCTCCCTCTCCTTACACACACACACACACACACACACACACACACACACGAGCATCTGTCTATACCTGTAAGTTTGTATACACAGACTCACACAATTTTTATTCCTTATTACAAGATGAAAGTGATGTTTTTTTTTTTTTTTTTGTAAGAGAGATTTTTGCTATAGAGCACGTGTGCTCGCTGGAGAGACAGAGAGACAGAAAGTGAGAAATCCCCCCTCAGGGGGGATGGCCATGCCTCAATTCCTTCTCTTCCATTCTCCTCCCTGGATCTTGGGCACACACGCACACATACATGCACATGCACCTGGCTTGAGTTTTAAGCTGCTGTGGTCAACTACGTAGGAGTCCAGTGACGCAACCATTATGCCATTTGTTGGTCCTTCTGATGTCATTTCTTAAAGAATCACTCTCAGGACCAGCAGATAGCATAATGGTTACATCACTGGACCTGGTGGCTTAAAAGTTATGCTGGGCACATGTGCGTGCATGCCCAAGATCCTGAGAGGAGAAGGGAGGAGAAGTGCTTGCCACATGGCTATCCTCTCAGGGGATGATTTCTCACTTTCTGTTTCTGTGTCTCTTTATGTCTCTCTGGCGAGCACACACGACCTATAGCAAAAAACAAACAAACAAACAAAAAAACCAAAAACAAAAAACACCACAAACATTAGAATTCAACAGTCCATGTCTTCCTAAAGCAACTGAGTGAGGTAATCCTCTACTGGTAACACAGTTTAGGTGTCATCTTGGCTCATTTATCTCTGTAGACCCTAGTATCTAACAGAAGAGTCATTCATCTTGTCTTCTGAGCCGACTGTAGTTTAATTCTGACCCTGGGGTCATAGCCGTTGGTTGTTCATTATCAAAATCTTGGTCCTTTTTTCCCCCACCAGTGTGCTATCTTACAGCATCACTAGGACTGGGGGTCCGCTCCTAACAGGGTGGTCAAGGGAAGCCTGTGGGCTCAGCCCTGAGAGCACACGCCAATTGATGCTGCTACCAGGTGGGCTGAAGTCACATGGGAGGCTCAGGCTTATTCCACATCTACCCTAAAAGCTGGTGCTATGTGCTGGTGGCATAAACCTCTAGTCCCAGTGACTCAGAAGGCAGAGGCAGGAGGATATGACATAGCAAGACCCAGTCTAAAAAAAAAAAATGAAAAAAGAAGAACATTGCAGGTGACTGCCTAAGAATCACCTCATCTCAGCTTGCCCCCAAGTGAAGGAAGGACTCCTCAAAAGGTAGAGACCTTACCTTCTGCAGTATCACCCTACCTAGAGCAACACTATGAGACGTTTCCTCCCGAAGCAGATGGCCTCCCAGATAAGACTCAAATTCTCCTGGTTTGATTCAGGCTTCCTCTAGAAGTGGGCCTCTTTATGCCTTCACAGGTCTTAATGTGCACCAGGAGTAGGGATGACTTTCCTGTCAAAGTTCACTGACTCGGAGGAGCACATTAGCTAAGAATCACCCATAAAAGCAGCTAAAATAACTCATTTTTTAAGTGATTGATGAAATATTCCACTCATTCAGATATTTTTTTAGTCACCAGAAAGAGGGTGTGCGTACTTGTCAGAGAGAGATACAGAAAGAGAAAGAGAGAGAGAGAAAGCACCTTCCAATAGGGTGTGGTCACACCACCATCCCTTCTCCTTCACTTCTCCCTCCTTTCAGGATTTAGGACATGCACAAACATACACCCTGAGTGTTTTCCAAAGGGACAGGACTGGTACTGTGGGCAGCTAAGTCAGATCTGGCCCCCCAACCTTTGCTACAAGGCTGGCTCCACTCACTTAGATTTTTAAGCTGAGAATAGATTGTATAAAATAATTTCAGCCAGCAAAAATTTACATCTATTGTACTGTCCTATTTTGAGGCCCATGAGGGAAAAAGGCCAAAGAGATGATGAGAGATTAAAAAAGAATGTATAGGTGGAGTAAGAAGAAAGAGAGCTAGAGGGGGAATAAAACAAATAGGCTTTCTTTCTCTCTCTCTTTCACACACTCAAACACACAAACTCTCTCTCTCTCTCTCTCACACACACACACACACACACTTAGTAAGAAAAGACGTTTTACAGAAAAGATTGCCTACCAGCTAGCCTTTATAGAAAGTTCTGCAAAAAGTTTGAATCTATCTAATCTATCCACATAGATTCAATAAGTCTTGATGTTTGATGCGGCCGGGGGCTCCCGCCCCCCAGCGCAGCCGTGTGCCGGGAACGGCCTGGCCGGCC